AAACACTAGATAAAAAAATTGGTACAAAGCTATTATGATTATAAAGACAATAATCAAATATAAATAGAAGGCATGAAGGGTTGGAAAAAGCTATTATCAGAAAAAAAAAAAAGATTAAGAACAAATACAAAGGAAACAAATAAAAGAAAATATAGATAAAAGATGTGAAATAATTAGAACAGATCAAAGAAAGATGATAATAAGTTTTTTGAATAGGCTTTATAAGAAAATAGTACTTAACAGGTTTATTAAACAAATAGAAGAAGAAAAAATTTGCTAACAAGCCTAAAAAATGTCAGAGTAGGAGTAGCAGAACATTACAAGAAGCAATTTAGAAAAAGAAATACAAAATTAAAAGAGATATTAGAAGTGTGAAAAGAAATATATAAACTGTGAAAAAGCATTAAAAAAAAATAGTATACAGAAGTCAAAAAAAAAATTAAAGAAAAAGAATGAAAAGAGGTATTAAGAGAACTAAAGACAAAAACAGCTTTAGGCATATCAAATATAAGTTATACTCTGATAAAGTAAGCAGAAAAGAAAACATAAGAAGTATTTAGAGGCTTTGCAGACTCATATTTAGAAGTAGAAAAGATACTAACCAAATAGAAGATAGCATAAGTTTACTCAATATCCAAAGATGTTAAGTGAAATAAAAGAACTAAATTATATAAGCCTTCTAGACAACTTAACAGAACAGCCAATACACATTCTTAATATGATAATGGAAGAAGCAAAAAAAAAAGATAAAAAAGTATAAATACTTTTGCAAGACATAAAAAAGGCATTTGACTCAGTTTTACAGAAGAGTTTAAAACTAGCATTATGAAAAGTCAAAATACCTAAAACAACAATAAAATATATTTTGAACTTGTTTGATAAGAGATAATCAAAAATTATCACAACTTATAGCCTAACAGAAGAAATAATAGCAGAAGATGGCATAGATCAAAGTGAAGTAATATTTTCATTAATATGGTGACTCTTTTACAATCTACTATTAAAGAGAATACAAGAAAATAAAGCCTTAGATTATATAGTAGAGCAACAAATCAGAAAAGACATGCAATGCAGCAATACTACAAGATACCACCAAGCAGCAATTGCATATGCAGATAATACAATATGAATTGCAAATAGTAAAGAATAACTAATAAAAAAATTAAAGATAGCAAAAGAATTCTTTAAAATAAATGATATAAAAATAAATGAATCCAAATTAAAGTTATTAATAATAAACACAAAAGTAAAAAAAGAAAAATGATAAATGATTTTTGAAAAAAGTAAGATAATAAAAGAAATAAAGAATAAGATAATCAAGCTAAAGAAATAATTAGCCAAACAATAAAAGATCTTAGATACAAAAAAATAACAATAAGTCAGATTGCATATATAAACAATATAATAATAATACCAAAATTAAGTTATATGTTATAATTAATAAAAATATTAAAAAGAAGTATAATTGAAATACATCAACTGATAATAAGTTTGACAAAACAAAAAAGCAATTTGCAAAGAATATTAGAAAACAGCATAATAGAGCATAAGGATCTCAGAAGTTACAGAACATTATGATAAAAATTATTAATAAAACAAATAAGTAGTTTACTAGCAAGACTAAATAGACAAGACAGTCTTAGACAGTTAACAAAATTAAGGATAACACAAGGTTGTCAAAGAGTAGTCTTACAGAAGATATATGGAAAATAGAAGAGATACCAGAAAATATAGAAGGTTAAAAAAATAACTTAGCTTGTTTAATATTACTAAAAGCAAGAAAACTTAATATAAATATAAGAACAGAAGGTAATTTATAAACAATACTAGAATATGGAACCAAAATAAAAGAACTTATAAATATATAATTATGAAAAAGAAGTAGAACTAGAATAAACAAAATAGACTTAATATATTTAAATCAGCTGTTTGATACAACAGAAAAAAGACTAATTATATAGCAACAACTAAAAAGTTACTAAAACCTATTATATAAGAGAAAAAAAACAGAATAGTTCAAAGTAATTAAACTAGAAGTAATCAGCAGATCAAAAAACAAAGAGGTTAAAAGATGTTTTAGAATAAATAAATAAAATACCAAGTAATGCAAATGAAATGAAAATATGTTTCAAAAGATAAAAGAAAGAAATAATGAATAATATATAATATATAGAATCATTAACAGTTAGAAAAAATAGTTAAAAAGAAAAAAAAAATACTAATAGAACATTAGCAAATACAAAGTAAAGAAAATAAACTAGCATTGAAATTAACAGATATAAGAGTTGTATAAGAAATGATGAATATTTAAAAGATAGTTGTCAGCAGTAGATAAAAATAAACAACAAAATAAGTATGATCCCAGATGTATTAATAAAAAAAGGCAACAACAAGATCAAAATAATAATAGATAAATAATAGAAATAACAAAGATAAATAAATCAGAAATGAGAGAACAAAAGCTTGAAGAACTAAAAACAATAAAAGAACTAGAAGTAGAGATAATCAGATGACAAAATTTAAAAAAGAATATTAGTTAAGAAATGATAAAAGTTCTAAGAAGAAATATAGTAAGAAACAAAAACAAGTATACAATATATACAGATAAAATAGCAAATATAAAGACTAAAAAAGATTTAAGAAATAAAAATAGTATGGGTATAGAATAGGTGCAAATTGATAAAACACAAAAATGGCTAAAAGAAAAGTTAGCATTAGAATTAGAAAGATAGCAAACATTGACAATAGCAGAATTAGTAGTGATATGAACAGCAATTCTAATAGTATCAAAAAAAAAGCAAATAGAAATATATACAGATAACAATGCTGCAATAAGAAACATTAACAAAGATTTAGAACAAATAGATAGAAATAAAATTTTCAAGAAAAAAAATACCATATAGATAATAAAAATTAAAGATCTTATTATGACAAAAAACATTCAGATAAAGTTTTTTAAGATCAAAAGTCACAGTAAAGATAGATGAAATAATAAAATAGATAGTCTAGTAAAAAAAATATAATAAGTAAAAGAATAATACAGACTAAAGAAGTCAGTTGTAAAGAGATAGAATACTGCTTAGACTGAAAAAACAAACATATTAATATACCAACAAAATTGTTTTACAAATTAATAATGAATACAAAATTAGGAGCAGAATAGAAGAAAATAAAAGTAATTAGAGAATTAAAACCAAAAACAGAAGTTATAGTTTATAATTAAACATATTTTTAAAAAAGACTAAAGATAACTAAAAGTAATACCAGAAGAAGTGCTTTTATAAGGTATATAATAGATAAACTTCTAATACTAATAAAACTTAACAAAAGAAGACCAAATATATATATAACAATAAAGTGCCAAATATGCTAATATAAAACAAAAGAAATACAATCACATCTGGTAGCATATAAAGAACAAAAGAATCTTTAAAATAGAATTCAAAAAAAGTAACAATTGTAACAGTCTAGAAGAAACTAAAAAAAAAAAAAAAGTTTAGGTCTCTTCATATATATTATATATAACAGTTTTTGAAAAAACAAAAGTAGAGAAAATAAAAATAAAAGAGGTACTAATCAAAGGTCTTATTCCAAAAAAAACACAAAATAAATTAAGGCAACTCTTAAATACAAAATCAAGATAACAGTTTATAAATGTAATAACAAGATGGTCTGAAACACATTTTACAAACAAGTATAGAAAATTTGTTATAAAAAAATTAATAAATGAAAAAAAAACAAAGAAATAATAGAAAAAATAAAAAAAAAAAGAGAAAAAAAAAAACACCAAAGAAAAAAAAAAAACCAAATTAGCAAATAATAGAAAAATGAAAAATGAAAGTAAAAGAAAAAGAAAAACAAATCAAAAAAAAAAATACAGAAAACAATTTTAGAACTTGTTATGAAAAAGAAAAGACTCTTTTATTATAGACTTTAAATAGTTAAACGAACAGCTTACTTTTATTTAAAATAATGCAGCAGTAAGCATATTTATATAATTGCAAATGTAATTTCAAAATCTTAATAAAGTACTATTGTGACTGCTTAAGGAAAAAAAAAATAAAAAAATAAAGCACTAATATGATTGCTTAAAAAAAAAAAAAACTAATTTTAATAAAATTATTACTGTTAAATTTACAAAAACTACTTTACAAATTTGTTTAGTTTATATATAATTTTAAAATAATACCTACTACCTTAAGAATTTTTCTGATCGCGTAACGTTACACTAAATCGAGATTCATTATTGGCTTATCTTCGTCGATCATTACGTGAGTGTAAATTTCGGTAGCCAATCAAATCCCGAGATCAGTTGTAACGTGAAAAAAGTTCTGCCTTCTGCGTATTAACAAAGATTTTTCTTGCAAAAATTTGATATAACCCTAAACCAGGGCTGGCAATGGAGCTCAAAGATCAGTTCATTGCCAATAGCGAGACGTTTTTTCTTAAGATCACATGATGTGCGAAATTTTAGACTGCATCTTCACGTATTTCAATCACGTACACATGTACACCAAGCATTTTTAATTAAGTACTGTAATTAATTAAGTACTGTAAAAATTAGAGAAACAGCGCACCATCACCATTTTATTGGCCTCTAACGCTAATATATTTGCTGTTAATCCATCATGTATTCTAATGTCTATAAATCAACAATTAGTAGCGTAACTTTCCCTCACATCGAAGTCATTACATATTACATATCGATATTTTTAGTTCAAGCCCCTACAATTACTGGTTTATCATGTGATTGCAGATCTCCTCGACCTGAATTCCTTATAAGTTTTCTTAAATCGTAATTTAATTCAGGTAACTTCTTTCTATAATTTTTCGTTTTTAATAACTTAAAAGATCCTAACCTTTTTCTTTGTTTATAATTTATTTTTTAATACTTCGTTTACGCAAGCCGCTAATATTTTACTTTTGACGTGCATTTTCTTTGGGTACAACGGAATTGTAATAAAATTAAAAGCCTTTTAATTTTACAAATCTTAAACCCAATGGCTTTAGCAAATGCATCTTTCTCAGAAATTTTGGATGACTTATCAAGGTTTAGGTCTACTTAGGGTAACCTTACTGTGTTTTGGAGGTGAATACTTACAGTCTTATACTTTAAATCTAGTCGATTCATAATAAATGTTCCAGAGGAAGAATTGGCTTCAGTGGAGCGCATATGTTTTCAAATTGAACAGGCTCATTGGTTTTATGAAGATTTTGTCAGAGAACAAAACCCAAGTTTGCCAAGCTTTAATTTGAAAAATTTCTCTGCAAAATATATCCTTTTGATTCAATTGATCATTTCACCACTAGATCATCGAAAATATTATATTAAATAATTGTCACAATATCGGGATGTGCCAATATTTTAAATATCAAACCGTTATTTCTACCAATCTTTTACTGGTACCCTTATTTAAACTATTCCTAACTCTTGCACACTTTTTAAGCATTGCCCACTATTACATCAATGGTCTCATGAGCATGAAAAAGCGTTTGCCGATTTTATGCAATATAAAATTCGGGTTCCTGTGTGTGGTGCCATTATGTTGAATGATACAATGGACCAGGTTACTCACTTTACTTATTTTTAAAGTACTCCAGATTCATCAGTTCTTATTGCTAATGCGGTTTTTTTTTTGATCAGTGTGTATTGGTAAAAGGGTGGTCATCTCGTTCTGGATGGGGATTTCCTAAGGGAAAAATTAATAAAGATGAGCTGGATTCTACTTGCGCAGCTCGTGAGGTTCGTTTGACTATTCAATTAAAATATCATGGCTGCAATCTTATTAATACATGCAACAAATCGGTAGGTTCTGGAAGAGACCGGATATGATATATCCCCATTAATTAGGGAACAAGACTACATAGAACTAACTATTCGCGAACAACGAATAAGACTATACATTGTTGTTGGTGTTCCTGAAGATACTGAATTTTGTCCAAAAACACGAAAAGAGATTAGTGTGCGTCATGCTATAATTTTTATCCAAATTCCAAAATGTTTCAATAATTAAATAATTAATAAATTTATTACAATTATAGAAAGTAGAATGGCATAAAGTATCTGACTTACCAACATGGATTAGGAGTAGAGACAAGGATACTCCTTATCATTGTGGAGGTGGTTGTGTAAAATATGGGAGCAGTAGATTTTACATGGTCGTTCCTTTTGTTAGGTATGCACAGAGTGTTATCCGGTCTGTTATTGAATTACAAATTGCTTTGATATGCATAAATAATTATCAATGTATACTATTTAAAGTAAACTTCGACATTGGCTAAAATCACAAAGAAAAATGGTACGCAAAAGAATAACTGATGAATCACAACAAGAGGAATCTTCTGAAGTTGTGGTATTTAATGGTCATGGTACAGACTCTGGACCAAAAGAAACATCTCCAGAAACCTCTGTACCAGGTACAGAAAGCGAAGGTAGTCCTCATGAACAATCACCAACGTTCAGTGGGAAATTACACGAAACATCTTCAAATATACATGGCACGTCTCAAACAATTATGCGATCAATGTTTAGTCTAGATACCCCTATATCCACACAAATATCCACGTTTTCCACCTCACTTCCCCAAGAACTACAACAACTTAATGCTCCTGATGCGGGATTAAATTTTGAGTATAATCAAATGCCAGCATCTGAATTCATACAATCTCATTCATATTTCTCAACCTCACTTCCTCTTGGCCAATCACCTTCTGAATCATATATCGCGAATGGTTTAAATTTTCATCAATCGACATCTAGTAAAATTCAATCCTCCAGTTTATCAAACTTGGAAGGTGCGAAGTTACATATGCCTAGAAGAAAATCATCAATCGGTTCTATATACTCTAATTCTCATTCACATAACCACACGACTAATAGTAGTGACATAACAGCTCCTGTCCCGATAAATGCCAACTCCAATGCTGCCATCGCTGCATTGGATCCGGAACAAAAACTTCGTCGAAATTCATTATTGAGTTTATTTACTGCTTCAACTTCAACTAAACAATGTGATGCAACAACTCCTATATCATCTGTAGCAGTAGGTCATGATGATCAACATAGAAATTCGTTGCTAAGCGTTCTTCAATCTGAACTACCTTCAACTTCCAATCAAATTTACCCGAATCCCACCTCTATACCGTGCGATGACATCACTCAGCCTCAAACGCAACAATCATTATTACATTTTCTACCTAGTTCATATGATCAAGTTAACACAGACGCTATGCCGAATGCTAATGTACATACCAATACCATGTTCAGTATGTTTCAGCATTCTACTGCTCAAAGGAACCAGAAAGGCATGACATCACATTCTAGCACAATTCCCGATTCAAATTATTTAGGAAATCGTCGAGATTCCGCATTCAGTAGACATTCGAGTCAAGGCATTGCCACTCCTAAATTGTCGACTAATGTCGGTCCTATTGGTCAAGGAAGACCTTCGAACAATAATGAAAACAACAATCCCGAAATCCATGAAGTTGCACGGAAAATGTCATTATTGGGTTTATTTTCTACGGTTTACTCGTCAAATTCCGATAAGAACACTCCAAATACATGTCTCACAACTTCCGAAAGTCCAATAAAACCACAAAATACTTTTTTTTCCTCTTCCACTATGAACTCACAACTGGGCATACCAGGTACTCCTAGTTCGCTAAGGGTAAATAAAGAGTCATTGTTACGTCTAATAACGGCTTCTCCTCCGCCGCAAGGCGCTCCTTTATCTCCTAAAGTATTTGACGCAGAAATTCAAGCTCAAGAAAGAGCACTGCTGAATCTTTTAAAGTCGTCAAATCCCTCGAATAATGGTGTTGTGAATGAAAATGGTTCACCGGATCTTCGGGTTCGTCACGAACTTCTTGATAGAATTCATGCATTTATCCCTCCAGGCGGTACGAATCTAAAGGATGGAATTAATTCACATGCTCTACGCCCTGGCAATAGTGATAACCCCATGGTCAATTTCAAATTTGACGTAGAAAAGATTGTTGCGGCGTTATGATTTCCTAAAATACTTGGTTATTACAAATTAAGATAACTGATGCTATTAATTTTTTGTCTTTAATCTATATTAATACTTTATAGATGCAGACAAATTTAGATCGCTGTATAAAAAACTAATGCATATATTCTTGAAATTTTGAATAAATATTTTTTTGTATTTATTTTTCAAAAGCGTTGAGATTGTAAATAATCCACCTGATATTTTATTGATTGACCAATAAAATCACAAGGCTGGGTGGAACGTTTTTGAAAAAAAAAGTAAATTCAAAATCTAAAAATAAAGGGTATTGGCTTTATAGCTTAGCGGTTAAGCTGTTAGTTCGAGTTAAAAGCAAAAAATATTTTGTAATTTCTTGTAAAATTAATATTAAAAAAACTTATTGATACGTATAATTTCTGATGATCTTCTGAACAAAAAATTGAATTTAAAAAAACGATGTGGGAAGACTCAGGAAGACATTATTCTTGTTTTACGTGAAGTAGGTTGTTTGTCAACGAAATCAAAAATGTGTAAACACCAAGAAGTGAGATGGAACTCTTGAAGGTTTGTATTTTGGTTTAAAATTTTGTTTAGTCGGATTTTTTTAGTATGTTTGTATTTAAATTATAATATTCTAAAAAACAATAAGACAAAAATTTTAATTAGAATTATTGGAAACTTAGAAATATTATAATAGAACTTACAAGAAAAATTATACAAAATTTTGTTGGTTTTTCATTTTTTATTACAAAAATAAGTATTTACTTTTTTTAGAAGATTAATATATAAAATTATCAAAACAATTAGTAATGTTTATTTTTTATAATGGGTTATTTATACATAAAACCAAGTAAATAAGCAATATTTTTTTTTTTTTTTTTTAAGATGATCTTTTTGGTCTTTTGATTTTTATTAACAATTTTTAGTAATATGATTTTATGAATCATTACAGAAGAGCATACAATTGGTTACATGTGTAACTTTTTTATATTACCTATTTAAGAAATCTATTTAAAGGTTTTCTGTTAATTGTTATATCTAACATTTTTGCTTGAATGTTTAACTTACTGGATTATATTCAAATATTCAGATCATTGTCTCAACTTTAGAATTATTTTATCTTTGAGGTAAATCTTTTAGAGTTTTTTGTACTCATTTTTATAATTAATTTAGATATTGTTATAGTAGAATTAACACTTATAGTCAAGATTTAATCATTAAACTGTTATGTTTTTGTAGAGTTCATTTAGATTTTAGTATCTATTTTATAAAATATCTTTAATACTTTAGTATATTTTTGAATTTTATCAGATTTTTAATTTAGATAGTTCATATAAGATTATAACCAGTCTATTAGTATATTAGATTAGTTTAAAAAATTTTTTTTCTGGTTTATTCTAATAGTCTAATTGGTGATATCTTTGAGATTTTTAATCTAAAAATTTTTGTTTGTTTGGTTATTAAGATCTTGGTATCTGTTTCTAGTGATCTAACCTTTACAGTAATGCTATCAAAAATCTGATTATCTTTTTATTCAGGTCTTTTTAAATAAACTTTTTGTTACCTAATTTCAATGAATTTATACAATCACAAGAACTAATCTAGTATTTGCATTACTCAGTTATCAGTTTGCATTTTTTTGTATAATTTTAATATTGTACAGATGTCTTATAACTTGTCAGTTATATTGATATGATCATCATTATAGTTATTTTAATCTAATTGTTAGTAAAAGTTGTTGTAATATGAATATTACATAGATGATTATTAAAATTTTCATCATCAATAGGATTTGAACATCTAATCTACCACTTGAAAGGTTAACAACTTGATTACTTTATAAGGTCATCACACTATTATTATTTTTTTTTTATTAAAATTGATGTTTATAATAGTTATAGTCTTTATTTTTATTTTAGTATTAATTTTTTGTTTTTTGTTTTTAATTAAATTAGTCTTATTTGGAATTAGAGTTTTTTATTCAGTAATTAGATATAGAAACTCATATCCAAGATCTCAAAGGAAGCATCTTTATATTAAAAAGTATAACTAGTTATATGTATACTTTTAATATCTAATTTAAGTAATTTGCTGATAGTTCTATATTAGTTATTATATCTGCAATTCAATTAGGAACATTGTTTATTTAAACTTTCTGTATTACAATTCTTACTGTGTTATTAGATTATTTCTGATACTTATGAGTTAAAAAAGTTTAGATACTTAACTGTATCTTTAGGATCTTATATCTTATTTTATGCAATATATTTTCAAAAACATTATTACTAGAGTTTTTTATATTTTATATATAACTAATCTAGTTTTATATAACATGTTATAGTTAACCTTAAACTACTACAATACATTATTTCTACTCTTGTAAAGTTTATTCAAATCTCAATATCTATCTTTTTGACATCTTTTTTATTATTTCTTATTAATCCCAACTTAGAATTGACAGACTACTTAGACTTCCAATTCAAATAATCCAATATTATATATCTTAGTATTTTTTTTTTTAATGATTTTGATAGCCTGATTGGTTATATGCTTCTTTACATATCTTTGTTATTTAGTTTATCTGTTTATTTCTATAAAGATGTTTTATAAGCTTTTATTGATTTAATAGCATTATTAAAAGTTTGTATTATCTTTTTATTTAGGAATTTCTAAATACGATTCTATCTTTTTGATTTCTTAGTCTTTTTTTTTTGTGTCTAATGAACTTATTATGGGTTTGTATTGAAGTTTTATACAATATTAGTTATTAATATTTCTTTATATATATATAATGTTACATTTTACATAAATGTTTTAAACTTTCAATAATAAGTAAGACCCAACTTGGTGTATCTGAATTACAGCCATATAAGCTTAACTGATTAACAGAAAACAGTTTTTGTAACATAGATTAATTTCTAAATTTTGTTGTAGATAGGATTTGAATCTTAGACCTGCTACTTGAAGAATAACAACCCAACCATTATACTAGAATTATTATTTTTATTTTTTGATTTTATTAATACTTTTTTTTTTTTTATTTTTGCTAAAGCTGATGTCTATTAGTAGCTATTACTTTTATTGTATATTTTTAATTATATATTAATTGTATAACTTGTACAAAGTAAGTATACAACTAGCCACTTATACAACTTTTGGTTATTTATTTTAAGTAGTCTATCCAAAGTTTCTATACTAGTTGCCATTTCTATAATCTATTAGAAGATTACCTATTTAAATATTCTGATCTTTTATACTTATACTAGTCAAATAGCCCTGAGACTTTCATATATCTAAGTGCCATCTAACTTGATATATGACCTTTCTTGTTATATGTTTGTCAGGTTGTTACACATTTCAGAGCATGTCACCTGACTGTAAGGCCCAGGATGTCTTCTTGTTAACTAATATACCCACTTTTAATTATAGAACATTAATAGGATATGCTCTTGAAAAGTTTACCCAAACCCCAATACTAACTTTATAGCATATCTTTAGTACTTATAGTATACCTTTACTTGGAGTATTAGACTTCCAATTCAGATAGCCTGATAGAACTATGACCTGTCTTGATATATCAAGTCTGACCTGATATTATTTTCCTCTGATCCGATTTCTGGTAGTCTAGTTAGTAGTACCTCTCATCTAGAGATTCTTGCCTGCCTGATTTTTCTATATTGGTATTTATTTTTTAGGTCTAGCTTTTACAGTAGTACTGTTAAAGATTTATATTATCTTTATATTTAGATCTTTCCAAGTAGGCTTCAGTTTCTCCAGTTTTATGGATTTACATAGCCAAAGAACTTATCTTAGATTTGCACTGCCTAGTACCAGTTTGCATCTCTCTGTATAACCAAGGTTATACAAATGCCCTGACCTGCCAGTCATTCTAGTGTGACCATAGTTACAGATATTCTATTCTAACTGATCAACAGAATGCTGTTGTCATAATATAAATATTACATAAATAATTATTCAAATTTCGCTATTCATAGGTTTTAAACTTACAATCTACTACTTGAAAGATTGACAACCTAACCACTTTACTAGGTCACCATACTCTTATTAATACTTTTTAAGTAATATGTTTATATAAAATTATTATAAAAAGAACAACTCTTCTTAATAATCTTTTGCATCAACTTTTTTCATATATATTGATCTATAAATATTATAGTTAGTATATTTATATTTAACAATGTTTTGTTATATAGTGTTTAGATTCAAAAGTTTCAAATTGTATATGAGTAATATAAAAAAGATAGTTTCTTGTAGGTTTAGTTCTTTAGTAAAAGTCTATAAAGTTATTAAAAAAGTAACTTTGATTACAACTAAAAAAAATATATATTTAAACAATAGTAAAAATAAAAATTTGGTTAAATATATTATTTTATATAATGTAAACACTTATAATCATTATAATTAGTGTTCTAAAAAATTTTTCTTTACACTTTTCTGTTAAGAAATTTTTATCAAAAAGTGGGCAATTTAGTTTATTCCTATCAAAATCAACATTGTTGATTCTTCTAAATCAGAATTGTTTATTAGTTCTATTTTGAAAAAGCTTGTATTGTAGATAAAGTATGAGTATATGTGTCTTGAAAAAAAAAAAAAGATTTGTAATTTTCAGTAAAAGATAAAATAATTAGTTAAAAATATAACAAGTTTTGAAATGTAAAATTTAGTGAAAAGTATAATGAATCATATATGAAAATGAATTTAGTAACAAGAAGTTGAAACATCTATCATATGAAAAATTCTTTGCTAGTTCAGTTTTAATTAAATTATTTTTTTTTAAAATATAAGTTTTAGTATTAAATATGTTAATTAGATAGAAATAAAATAGAGATTACTGAGAATATAGTAATTTAGTAAAGTGATCAAGTTGTTAACCCTTCAAGTGATAGGTTGAATATTCGAATTCTATTGATAATAAAAATTTAGATAATCACTTATATAATATTTGTAATAATCACACTCTCTCCTGTAGATCTCTCGACCAAAATTTACAGGAAGCA